TCTAAAATTGACAACAAAATATAAAATTTCTTTTCTATTTATTTGCTATCTATGAATCTGGTATTTGTTTTTCAGTGGAAACATTAAAGAAATTGATATTTCAATCTTAAATTAGTTGAATGATGAGATTTTGTTATCAGTTTCTTTTTGTAAATATTTAGTCAACAACAATTTTGATGGTTTTTTTTTTAAATTATTTTTGGAAGTTTTCTGAATATCTAATTTTGAATTTTTACCTCCCTCTGCACTTTCAAGCCCTGCCCAACAGGGATGTGCATTAAACCCTCTTCTGTACACCACCTACACTTGTTATTGTAGCCCTGTCCATCCCACTAACATAATCATTAATTTTGCCAACTCTACTGTGGTTGTACTTATTTCAGAGGGTGATAAGGCAGATCACAGGAGTGAAATAAAAAGATTGGATGCATTGATCTTGGAAAAGTAACCTTGCTTTAAACACCTTAAAGACAAAAGAGCTGGTGGTGGACTTTTAGAGAAATTCCACAATACCTGTCCCTTTGGTTATTGGTGGAGTTTGAGTGGAGATAGTGGATAAAATTAATTTTCTGGGCACAAGTATTGTAGAGGATCTCTCATTGATTATCAATACTATTGTGTTATTCAAGAAGGTGCAGAAATAATAATTTACAAAGAGAGCTACTGATGACCTACCACTGCTCTATTGAGAGTGTACTGGTGTATGGCATCACTGTTTAGCATGCCAGCCGCTCAGCAGTGGATAAAAGAGCCCCCCTCCAAAGGATTATGCCCACTTTGGAGAACATATGCTCAGCAGTGAATAAAAGAGCCCCCCCCCTCAAAAGGATTATACCCACTTTGGAGGACACATGCTCAGCTGTGAACAATAGAGCCCTCCAAAGGATTATGGCCACCTTGGAAGACATTTTTAATTCTTGTTGTCACAGCAAAGTAGAAAACATAATGAAAGACAGAACATATCCTGGATATCACTTGTTTGAACTGTTATTCTCAGAGTGATATTTTACTTCTATTAGTTCTAGGAAAAAGTACTTGAGAGACAACTTTTCTCCATGGGCCTTGCATAAAATAGTGCCACATACCAACAATTTTCAATGTATTTTATTACTTTTTTTTTCATTTGATGCTGTGTATGTTTTTTTTGTGTGTGTGTGTTGGTGCACCTGTGGGACTGCTGTCCAATTTAATTGTGCATTGCAGAGTGACAAGAAGAATAGATAAATAAGAATAAAGATGAATAAAAATATAATATATAGGATATAATAATAGATAATAATTTTTGTAATTAATCATTTGGTGATATTATATGTTATACAATAGAGTTTTCTCCAAGCTATGCACTAGAGTTGTGTTATTTTAGTATTTTTCATACAACTGAACTTTTACATAATAATGGCTGGCTGTCAATTAAGGGCAGTTAGCCAAACCTTGTTGCAGACATCTACTCAGGCACATTTGTATTTGTTCAACACCCACAGAGCCCATCTGTGATTTATACTGAAACTATGCTGAGCAGACTTAGTTACACTTTCTGGGAGAGAGTGGATTATCTGGCATGATCAACAGTCTGAATAAAGCCAGTATGCTCAAATCGCAATGACTTGTGACTTTATGCTAGAACACCCATTGACAGCTCCAAATAGTTCCATCTAACCAATTCCACTCACAAGACTTGGGTTGACCCATGATAGGATTTTCAGGCATTTTGCCACTCACTGGGATCACCTCCCCATGCCAATAACATCAAGAAGTCACCTTGACAGATTCAAAACCCTGTCTTATAGTCAGAAAGTGAACATATTCACCACTTGACTACCTTTTATATAGTGACATGATAATTTGATAGATTTCTTGCTGTGCTATAAATAGGTTGTCATTAAAATAATAATAATGAAAAGAATACTTAATTTATTTTACTGTATATTAAAGTCTTATTTTATCATCCTCTTAGTTTTGATCATACATGCTGTTACTTTGATTGTCCAAAGGAGTCAGTAGCATCTCATAGCTTAACATTGTTGCTTAAAAATTGTCTCTTAACAAATCAATTCATTTGATACAGTGACTATACAATGAGTATTTTGGGGGAAAAACAAGAAATAAAGCAATTACTTACTTACATAATACGTATCCATGTATAATCTTGCTTTATTATAAAATGCAGATTGTGTGTGTGTGTTCGTTTATATATGGGATCGGATTTCCTACATTTTTCAACCGATTTCAACAAAACTTCACTTTTTTTTGGCAGGTAGTGTTTCTTATTGTCTTGCACACTTTTTTCTTTATTTTTACATTCAGAATGCTTTAAAAATTCTATTTACAAGACAATTGTTTATAATAAAATTCTATTCAATCGATAGACTCATAACGATTGAAAACAATGTTTGAGTTTGGGTTTGACCAATTCGTAAAAAAAAAAAAAAAAAAAAACTAATTAAGACATGCATATTCATCAACCTTAAACAATAATCTTTGTCAATTTTATTTTTCAGTCTTTATGATGGTCGATACTTGATCTATCTCTTACTGTTACATCCCCGGGCAACGCTGTGCTCTACTGCTAGTTAATAATATAATTTTGTATACTTGCAAATCTATCACTGTTCTACCAATAAAGCCTTCACCGGTAATGACTTTGGGGTCAGGTATGGCTGTGTAGCCAAAGCAACTTCACTACTAACACTGTGTATCCCAGCAGTATTTTATGATACTACCATAGCTTGTTAGTCATAGTGTGGAAATATGAAATTCAGATGCAAACTTCATATATTTCGTATTGTATTCACAATGTTAATCATTGTAAACCCAGTTCTTATACTCCCAAAATGAAGTGTTAATTCAGTTATCTGATATATGCACACACACATACTCACATATATAACACCTTGAAGGATGATGCCAACTTTGACATGGGTATAGTAAGTACATGGTATTTATTGGTAGATATTCTGATAAAATTTTCAAAAACACCAGTGCATAATCTATATTTATGCTTCTGATGATAATACTTGCCAAGATCTATAATTGCCAACTACATGGTGTCCACAGATCACAGAAAATATAGCCCTAATAGTGTTGACATGGACTCTTAGGAGTTGATTCCTTGCAGAATGACTATAGATATATGTACCATTATATATATATATTCCACTTATGTCATGGTGCTCCCTAGTGTTCAGTGATGAGAGAATATTCCGTTTCCATACAAGCGATGGTAATTTGTGCATGTGACATAGATCTGGACAGTGTCTTTGTCTACTGTGTATTTGTCTGTGATGCACAGGTTCAACTCCTGGTTTCACTCACTCAAGTCCCATATGCTCCATGAGGAGTAGGGAGCTACAGCACACTAAGTATTGCTGCTGTGGTTAATGTAACAAGTAGCAAGTTTTTAAAGGATGAAGTTTCTAGTCCTATGTCCAACCAGTTTTGAAATCAGTTGTCCTTTTCCTAGACTAGTTACCAATTATGGCTAAAGAGCCTAGTCTGTCTTACTATTTAACCTATAACTGGAGGAGAATAGATACTTTTCCATGGGTGAAAGTGAATGTAATGAACTTGACTCTCTGATTTCTCATTCTGAACATTATCCATTACACCACCCATGTATCCCATCACAATATCACATCGTAATATGGAGTGTGCTATAAATAATAACTTTCACTCATCTTTGGTAATCATGGAAAGCATGTTGAACACCACTATTTATATTCAGAAGCTTCTCCAACTCGTTCTGCTGTCATTCTTTTAATTTTTTTTTTTTTTTTTTTTTTTTTTTTTGAAGCCTGTCCTACTTAATGTTTTCTGGTGGATAACTTTTTGGTCAACACAAAACCCATTCCACATTGAATTTGTATGGGGTATGACATTAACTCGTTTATTTAGCTCACTTATAAATCTTATTGTATTGCCTCAACAAGTACAAGAGTTACGGAATAATGTATTGCAAGATAGTATTTTCCAATGATTAAAAATCTTGCCCACATTGCATGTTTACAAAACCATATTTCAGATTGTTTGCATTACTAGCTTGTGAATCATAACAAGTTATTTTTTGACTGACAAGCAGTTTACATTTTACATTTCTCAGATCATATTTTGGACCCAGCATTACATTCTGCTTTTCTGGTTATCAGAAAGAAAAAAAAAACATCTTTCTTTATTTCCTTGCTCCATATTTCAATTCAGGTTTTCACCTTAACATTTTTAACACTTTCATTTCTCCAAACCCTAAATGGGGTTTTCAGATAAACCCTTTTAATTTTTTCATACTAACAGTGCCACAATAGTGTCTTATTAACCTTTTCAGCTGCAACCAGTGACAATTTATAGTGTCACACCTATATGTGATCATTTACTGTAATCTAATTATATTACTTTTACATTTAATTGTATGTAAATTTAAATACATGTTCAGGGTGTTGTCATTTCTGTCATAAAATGAGATTTGCCTGAAAAGCATTTAGCTATTTTGAATACCTCAAGGCTTGATGTAACTTGGCAGTGAATCAGAGAGAATCATACTGCATATAAGAACAGTCTTTCATGTAATTACTCAGTTGGCAATAAGATAACATTAAAGGAGCTTTTATAGGGTGTGACCATTGCATTCACAATCTAGTGCAGGGTTTCTCCGTAAGACATCACATCATTCAGTCTTACAGCCTGTCTACAGTTCAGAGTTTGGTTTACTGTAATGTCTGACTTTTTCCTAAACTAAAATCACCATCACCATTGAAAAGAAGGAGGTTTCAGACTATGGATGCTTTCCCCCTTATCAAGTATTAAAGAAAATGCAATTTAACAGCTGATAATCCCATTACACACTAAGTGAAAGGGATGTTGGGATAAATGTCTGTGTGACACCTAAAGGGAAATATTATGATGATAATCAAAGTACTATTGCACAGGGTAGGTTATGTTATTTATTAACTGGATTCTTTTTGGACAGACCTTGTATATATAATAATAATATTTCATATTGCTTTTAACAGGTGTGCTACAAATATTACAAAGCCTGAATTTGAGACATTGCCAGAATTGAGCGCTGAAGATAAATATTCAAATGTTCGAAATTTCTTCTGCAGCGATGATTCTTCTGGTAAGTGCCCAAAGTTAATTTATTGAATAGTATTTAGGTTTAAAGGTACAATTTAAAAAAATACTATCACTTTTATCAATTTTTGTTTAGTATAACTTTGAAATCTTGTTGAAACAATTACACAGACTCCTTAACAGTGAGAATTATTTGAGCATATAATAATACTAAATAAATAACCAATTAAAGTCAAATTTTACTTATATGAATTTTGTTAGGGTTTTTTAATCATTGTATATATTTTTGTTCAAATTAATTTACTCATGTTTGTTTTTTTTTTTAATAACATTTTGGCTGTGTACATGCCAATCTACCTAAGGTGTTATGTTCTGAAATGTTAAATTTTATACTTGGGGTATTTTGTACATCTCTTATACACATGTTTAATTTTTTTGTTTCTATATTTTTGGAATTCCAGGGGCATAGCCCTGGATGTGCCAGTGTATGTAATGCTCATATTGTTAGTATAGAGGTCATGAGAAGTGTAGTCTTAAGAATGCATTTACACACATGCCAAATGTGATGTATATGACAGAATTGTGCCTACATTCACAGAATAAGATTCAACAACATTTCAGAACACAACAGACATCTGACAAGAGCTGGGAAAGATGCAGCTGAAACATGCAAAAAAAAAAAAAAAAAAAAAAAACGGCAATTAAGATTAAGAAATTAGTTTAAAAAAACACAGAAAATAATATCAATAATTATTAATTTTAAGTATTAATATTTCTTTTACATTAATATATTGTTTCTGTTTTATATGACCCCTCAGGACATGGCTCAACAGCTTTCAATATTTTTCTTAAAAAGAAAAAAAAAATGAATTTAAACTAATATTTTACCAGAAAGAGATTAAGTGACAAGTCTCCTTAATAGTCCCAACACTCTTAGTATTCTAGCTGTTTTCAATAATGCCATCATCTGGATGTTTTTTTTAAATTAGTATTTCTTCTTTGAAGATTGATCAAAAATAGATTCTAAGAAAGTTGTTTCATAAGAGAAACAGCAATATCAGAAAGTTTACTGAAAAGCTTACCTATTAATTACCTATGTTTTGATGTTTCTTTTTGTTTGATATCAGTTGTGTTTTTGATGACAGTAAATAAAACTCACTAAATATTTTTAGATAAGTATAACAAACCATGTCCTTCATGTAAATATCTGCTTTCTTTATATGAAATGAAAAAGTAAAAAATTATAGTTGATGTAATCAGAGATATTTCAGTTTTTTTCTTATAAAGTATTTTATATATTTAGGGAAATAAATTATCAAAAATGATGATTAAGTAAAACACAATTTAATTTTTACCTTTCATAGAAATTGTTTTTGTTCATACCTATAATTTTAATGTAGCAAGTGAAGATGTATCTAATTTAGGAGTAAAAAAAAGGCATTTGTTACAAAACATTTAATATTAAATATCTATATTTAAGTATTTTTCATTTGAAATTGAATCTTACTTCCTTATAGTGATATCAACTCCATGTTCATCATGGTTCATTCTATCCTGATATCTGTACCACATTCACCATGATTCCATCTATCCTGCTATCTGCTTCACATTCATCATAGTCCATTCTATTCTGATATTTGCTCCACATTCATCATGATCCCTTCTATCCTGATATCTGTGCCACATTCATCATAGTCCATTCTATTCCAATATCTGTGCCACATTCATCATAGTCCATTCTATTCCAATATCTGTGCCACATTTATCATGGCCTCTTCTATTCCAATATCTGTGCCACATTTATCATGGCCTCTTCTATTCCAATATCTGTGCCACATTTATCATGGCCTCTTCTATTCCAATATCTGTGCCACATTTATCATGGCCTCTTCTATTCCAATATCTGTGCCACATTTATCATGGCCTCTTCTATTCCAATATCTGTGCCACATTTATCATGGCCTCTTCTATTCCAATATCTGTGCCACATTTATCATGGCCTCTTCTATTTTAACTGTTCAACGTTTGTCATGGTTTCTTCTATCCTAAACTGCTCCACATTTGTCATGGTCACATATCTTGTCCTCATCACTTATGTTCTAGACCAGCACTTGTTCTTGACACTCCTGTACCCCTTCATTCAACACTCATTCTCATCCTACCCAAATGCTCATCCTTGTCTTTTCCGTTCTGTCCAACACTTATCCTTATCCTTCTTGTGTTGCTAAGCATTCATCTTCATCCTTAACATGCTTCCTAATGCTTGTCCTTATCCCTCATGTCTTACTCAATGCTTGTTATGATCTCTTTCTATAATGATATCCACATTTGTCTACATTTAAATTCTGTGCTTTAGATTCTTTATCATAAAAAAATTAAATTTAACTTATTTTGAATGTATATAATAGCTTCAGCAGCAAAATCTGTTATATCAGCATACTCATAGTACTGTATAGGTCTTATATTTGTTTATTATTATATTATAGTTACAATATTATTATTATTACACCTAGTTGCTGGATTATCATTGCTAATATTTACAGTTAACTTTTTAAAACAGTCAATTAGTTTTTAGAAAATTACTAAAAATATTTTCTCACATTATACAATATCCCAATAGTCAGATATAAGATGATAGATTAAATCTCAAAAATATATATTTATTTATTTTTAAACTAAATAGGATTTAGTTGTGGGTGTCGATGAAAAGAAATTTGATTTGATAAGACAAAATAAAGTTCCCAACCCAATTACTCCTGAACAAAATATAGCTTTATTTTCTAGCTAACTTTTGAAACATTGCTTCTTTTGTCACACTTTCAAGAATTCTCATTTCCAAACAGTTACTGATTTACACTAAACTATATTTGCCTTTTAACAATATACACATTAATATAGGTAGACAAAAGCATCTACTAGAAGATTTTATAAAATGGTTTAAGCATTTAGAAAATTTACATCAATGAAATGGAAATGTTCTCTTACAATGTCCAAAATAGTTATTCATTTACTACAATATGACATTCTCATACATTTATATTATTTTTTTAAAATCTTTTTTATTGATATTTTGCTTGACATCATTTTATCACTATCATTTGTTTTTTATTTGAACTTGTGAAGACAAACATTACAACTTGAATTGTTATCTCATTTTGAAAAAAATATATTGTATATTTTCAAGACTTTATTAAAATTTTTTTGTTTCTCTTTTTTTTTTATGATATTGCTGTTATATATTTATACAGATTTTCTTAGTGATAAAGTAAACACTCCAAAAATCTCGTTATTTTTATCAATAAATAATTCAACTTCCTTACAAATAACAAGTTGATTGCAGATTCCAATTTTAGATATTTTAAATTCCTAATAAGAAAATGTTTTATTTTCAAGTGATGTTTTAAGCATCATGATTACAGTAAATAATTGAAAAACATTTCAGAATTTCTTCATAATTAAAACTGTTTAAAAAGAAATAAAATTATATGTATTTTTAAAATAATGAATTGAAAATTTTTAAACATTGAAATTTGATAAGAAAGACATTACAATAAAACTTTCATATTGCAATAACAATTTTTTGATGATGAAATGTGATGAAGACAACAAAGATATCTCAATTGCATTTTTGACCTCATAACTAACAGAAAAGTTGGTGTTAATTTCTAATAATTTTTTGTTGTGAATTTACTTTTAATTTTTTTTTTTAATTTGCTTTAATTTCTCAATAGAAATTTATTTACAACTGATTATTTTCTTTTAAGAGGGTATCAGCTTCTACAATATTTTTTTAACAGTGATTCCACCTGCTAAGTACCCTCTTTTACATGACTCACAAATAACATATTCATTATGTTTATTTATTTTTTAATAAAGTTTTCCTTACTGTATCTTATAATTTTGAAAAAAAATCATGCACTTTTTCATGTCTGTGTACATCTGAGATTGGTGATCTATCTGACAGTATCATCTACTTCAACGACAGGACTAATTAAATACATTCAGGTCAAACACAATATAATTTCCAGTTGAATATTAGAGGAAATGAAAAAATGAAAATAAAATGCAAATTAATGCATTAAATGTGAAAATCAAGAAACATTATATTAAATTTTAAGCTTAAAGGAATTAAATAGCTATACAGAACATTTAACATTACAGAGAATCATAATTTCTGTCAAACTAGCTAATTTGAAATTAAATATTGACTGAGAAGGCAGAAAATGGTCATTATTCTGAAGATAAAGGGTTAAATATTTCTCTTAGCATCTCAAAAAGAAGCATAAACATACTATCAGATAAATATTGAGCATTCACTTTTGCAAATGGAGTTATATAAAATTATTTGTTAAAATCAAGTGCCTTTTTTTTCTCTAAATGGTCACCAAAAGATCTGTAAAGAAAAAAAAAAAGTTTAGCATGTGGAACCACTGTTAAAATATTTGTAAAACATTGAATATTTTTAAAAAACAAAAAAAAATCAATTTGCTTGTTCAACTTTGGCTATTAGATGGACATTATCCCACACTTATTTATTGTTGTATTTTTTCAAGTAATTTGTTTTTCAGCTACTGCACACCAATGCACTTTTTCACCTGAGAAAGGTATATGATGTTCTACCTGTGTTCTACTTGTGCATCACCTGCATGTTTTGATTTCACACACCTAAAAAGGTGTATCATTCTCAACCACTTTTTGTGTGGTCATCACTTCACTGCAAACCCTTTGTTTGCTTAAACCTTTACACACATTTTGTCATACCTTTTCTTTAGGGATTCAGCTTTTGTTATTTGTTACTGCTTTGTTCCAAGTTATGTCCTCTAATACATACCCATCAGCTATTCAATATTGTATTTTATCCCAATTTCTTTTTGCCCAATTTCTTATCCTAATGTACCCTCTGTTCTTTTTGGAGTATTTCTATTTAACTGCTCTTGACTAATATGGAATATACTACTTATGTATGTATACACACACACAATATATATATATATATATATATATATATATATATATATATATATATGCAGTGGGGTAGTAGTTAAT